AAAAAAAAAAAAAAAAAAAAAAAAAAGAACAAAAGAAAGTATTCTGAGTAGCAAGAGGACTGAAGGAGGCATCCTGCCCGTATTCACTATCCCTACTTCTTTCTCTTTGCCCAAAGATCTTTTTTGCACGTTATAAAGGATGTTGTAGTGTCCTGGAAAATATGTAGAGGGGGGAAAAGTTTCATAGACTCTTCATTTGCCCTAGCCATTCTTAGTATTATTGCTGCCATCACAGTCCGAGCAGTAGAGACTAAATCCACCACACAGGCAGGTTTTTCTGTCTCAGACCTCTGTCTCTGTCTCTCTGTCTGTCTCTCTGTCTCTCTGTCTCTCTCTGTCTCTCTGTCTCTGTCTCTGTCTCTGTCTCTCTCTCTCTCTCTCTCTCTCTCTCTCTCGCCTCCCTTACATCCGATACAGAGCCACGGAATTTCTAAACTATCATATTCATTAGATCATTCCAGCCAAAGAAAATTCTTCTCGACGTCCAATCCAATATTCACTATTATTCTACTGTATTAATTTGGGGGAAAATCCCAACTAAGATTCAAGGCCCAGGCTAGCATTATCCTACCTTTATGCTATGTGACTAGGGCCTCCTAATTCCCTCAGGGAAAATTCTTTAAAGTTTCAACTAATCTCTTCACTGTCCTCTCCACACAAATTACCTGCACACCTAGGCTGGATTACACCCACACCTACCCACATTCCACCCCTTCTGTCATTCCCTCTAAGGCCAGCCTAGACACGCTAATCTCTCTCGGTCCCTCGTGCTCCTCCTAAACACAAACTGCATCCTGCCCATTTTCTTAGCCTTGTCACATTCATCCTCTTCAGCTGGCTATACCGTCCCGGTATATCAAACCGCTCCAACCCAGTCAGAATTTCCTGGGAGGCAGGCGGACCACGAACTTACACACAGCGTCTATCCCAGCGCCCTGCACGTGTAACAGGTCCTACATATTATTGATTAAAACCAGGAGGGACTCAAATAACGACCTAAGTAGGGCCAGACAATATTGCCTATCTATCTCTATTTACTCTATGTGACGTCAAAGCGAGCACGTCTATTTCTATTTACAATAAAGGATACTTGGCGTTACCTACACCACTGAAAATTTCGAGTATACATAGAGCAGTGCTGAAGTGGAAGGAGCGCGCCACCGGATGGCAAAAAGAACCATGGACCTAATCCTAGTTTTGACACAATCTCTGCAACTGTGGGGAATCAGACAACCCCTTTTGGCCTCAGTTGTCAAAGGGGTACACTAAGGGAGCTGCTGCGGAGGATCGCAAGGTATCTTTAGAGTCTCAAATACCCCCCAACACTGTCTCCTCACTGCCGCTAAGACAGGCAAACTTTTACAGTTCCCAACGCCAGCATTTCCCTGGTCCTGGAAACTCAATCGCCTCAGGAAAAAGCTGAGTCGAGGTGAGAAGCGGCTCCCCCGGGCTCACCGGATTCCTCCACCCGAAGGCGAGAGCATCCGGCAGGTCGCCAGCCCCTCAGGCCGACCGCCCGAGCGGCTCCCCGGCGGCCGCGCACTCGGTCGGACCCCACGTCCCCTGCACTCGTGACGCCCGCCCCGCGTCGCCGGCTCAGTGCCCGCGCCCTCACCGGCCCAGGCCCTGGCTCCGCCGCCGAGCCGCCCTTCCAGCTCCGGGGCGGCCTCGGCACGGCCGTCCGCGCCCCAGCCGGCGGGACCGGCAGCGAGAGGGGCGGCGGTGGCGGCTTTAAGTGCTGAATCACCACTTTGCAACGGGGCGCCAAACCACCGTGACCCGCGGGCCCGGAGGGCCGGGCGCTTTGGCAGCTTACCCACAGAGACGCTCCAGGAGCAGGAGGCGAGTGCCAAGGGCCGAGCGGAGGGTGCCGGGCAGCGCGGGGTGCAGCAGCCACGCGAGTCGGTACCGCATACCCAGCGCAGCCGCTGGGATCACCGCGAACGCTTCCTCCTTGCGCTGGGAGCCGGCCCCGCGCACTGCGCATGCTCATTGCGCGCCGCGCCGCACCGCGCCGCCGGAGCGGCTCTGCTCCGGGTTTTCCGCAGAGCCCGACCCGGCCGGGACTGCGGGGAGCGGGTTACGGGAGCTGGGGGTAGGTGGGCTGGGTTCTGGCCGGCGAGTTTCAAAAGCCCGGCCCCAGGCTTCCCTCTGCCGGAGGGTCGCACTCGGGCGCGCCTCTGCGGGCGGCCAAGGGGACGTGGTGTGGGCCAGCGCGGTCGTGAATGGCAAGGGCACGCTCCGTTTCCGAGGCGGCCGTGCCGGCCGAGGCCGGGCTCCGCGGGTGTTGAGACGCAGTCCCCCCGAGCGGCGGCGAGCGCGAGACCGCGGGCTCCCTCTACAGCGCGGAGGGACGCGGCCGGGCTGGAAGCGGGGGAGTTCAGGCCCCCCGCGAGAGGGGGCCCGGACCCAGGGGTAAATTTCCGCCATGGGGCACCTAGCGGTACAAAGACGTAGGTGCACAGGAGACAGGCTCAGCAAAACCAGGCTTTTGTGGTCAAATCCAGAGCAGAAACTACTACTGCGTACGAGTCCTACTGTTATCAGTCTACTTCAGTCATTAAATCAAGAACTTCTTTGCCCGATGGCTTCAGGGTGCTTTGCATCCACAAATAACCCAGTATTTGCTCTGGATTGGGGGGGGTAGATTGGGGGATCTAGGGAAGAGTGCCCTCAGGGACAGTGAGGCCCCCCGCAGTATTTCTAGGTGTCTCATGTGGCCAACCAAAAATAGCAAGGAAACGCAGGAATCAGAATCCTTTTATTGCTTCAAATGGGAATTCAGTGGAACGGTACGTTGATCACGTTGGATGAATGTATCATGAAATACCTAGAGACTTGTTTTGATGGTAACTGCAAATACATGGTTTTTAGAAAAAAAAATTTTTTTATTATTCTGGATACTAGAAATTGAACTCAGGGCCTTCGCATTGAGCTATATCCCTAGCTGTTTTGTGTTTTAGTAAGTCGCTGAGTTGACCAGGCTGGGCTCAAACGTGTGATCCTCCTGCCTCAGCCTCCCAAAGTGCTAGCATTACAGTTGTGCACCACCTCCCAGTGATTTTAAAAACGACCCAAAATTACTAGTCCCAGTGCAGAGGAGGTAAGTATCTTGGAGCTGCTGCGTTGCCAGTGTTAATGAAGACTCTGAATACATACATGCTTATTTAATGGAATCTATAAATCGCTTCGGCCTACTGTACTGTTTTGTAGGTCCTGAAATACACAATTTGAGGTGTCTCCTTATGAAATAGAATACAAATTGTTATAAAATAATAAAACTAAAATTAATATTAATTAAATATGTAGAAAGGGACAACACAGCAAATGATTCAAACAAGACCTGGAGATTCAGAACTCTTTAGACTATTTATTAGAAATGTTTACATAAAAGTGCTTCTGGGCTGGGAATATAGCTCAGCGGCACAAGCACCTGCCTGGCAAGTGCAAGGTCCTGAGTTTGATTCCCGGTACCAAAAAAAAAAAAAAAAAAAAAAAAAAAAAATCCCATAAAAGTGCTTCCAAAATGGACGGGTGGCACACACTTATAATCCCAGTGCTTGAGAAGCTGAGGCAGAAGGATCCCACATTTGAGGCCAACATGAGCTACATAAGGAAAGCTTTCATTAAAAAAGTTTTTAAGCCTTCTAGAAGGCTCAGTGTTAGAGCGCTTGCCTTACAAGGCCATGGGTTTGAGCCCCAGCACAGCAATTGGCTTCCTCTCTAGCATGCCTAGTTTGAGATGAACACACGGGAGAGGCCCTGCAGTTTAAATTTCATTATCTTCATGATAACTCTATCTCTCATAGGAATAGATGTGCTGCATAGGAAAGGGTACTAAAGTCTCAATAAAGAGGATGTAAACAGAAAAAAAACTAAATTTTGAGGATGTGCAATGTGTCTGGCATTATACATAGATCCTTCATTAATCTTCACACTACCCCAAAAAGGACATTCTCTACTTACCAGGGATGAGAAAGCTGTAGCACACAGAGGTCAAGTAACTTGCCAACGACTGGTCAAAAAGAGTAGAATTGTAAATGGAATCCAGGACTGATTCCAAAAACCTCTGGCTCTTTCACTTTGTATGTTGATGACACAGATATTTATTGAGTGCCTTTTAGATATTAAGTAGTAGAAGTGCTGAGAATATAGGAATGGGAAAAAAAAGATATGGAGCCTCTGGCCATACAGGGAAGCAGAAAATAACCAAGTAATAATATGGAGAAAAAGGACAGATATGGGAACAGGGAGAAAAGCAGTAGGGGACTATTATTCCTTTTTTGGTACCAGGAATCAAACTCAGGACCTTGTGCTTGCCAGGCAGGCACTGTGTTGCTGAGCTGTATTCCTGGCAGGGGAGTATTTTTAAATTCGATGGTGAGAAAAGGCCTCTGAAGAAGTGACATTTGAGCAGAGTCCAGAGTAATGATAAAGTGTGGGCAGAAGGAAGATCTATGGTATAATGTTTCCCACCCTCACATACCACCTAGACCCTAGCGGAAAAGGAGAAAACACTAGTACCCTGAAGTCATTGCTTGACCCAGATGGGAAAATTATATATATTCAAATATAAGTGTTTTAATATACTTGAACCAAAATGTAAATTTTTTTGGTCATAAGTCCTCCATTACCCCGGTTAGAATACGGTTCATCATAGAGCTGAATCAAAAGGTCTAATGACTGAGGGATGGCTTATAAACCCAGTGGTGATAAACTGGCAGATTTGACATTTATTTCCTAATTCAGAAAGGCTTGCTTGCTTGCTTGCTTGCTTGCTTGCTTTTTTTCTGTCTTTCTTTTCTTTCTGTCCTTTCTTGCCCCAACCCCTTTCAGTACTGGAGAGTCACTCTACAACCTTTGCATACAGCAACATCCTTAGCTCTTTTATTTTTTGAGACAGGGTCTCACTAAGTTGCTAAATTGCTCAGACTGGGCTTCAACTTTTGATCCTCCCGCCTCAGCCTCTCAGAGTGATGGAACTACAGGCGTGTGCCACCATGCCCAGCTCAGAAAAATGCCTTTTGAACTAACTTAACCTATTATCATGTTACACATTAAAAATAAAATCTAGACTGATAGCTCAGTGGTGGAATACTTGCTTACCATGTGCAAGGTCCTGGGTTTGATCCCTAGCACTGAAAAACTAACCAAACAAACAAACAAATATGTCCTGAATTCTAAGCCTACCAAATCAAAAGTCTGTACTAATAACTGAAGAGAAGGGATACCTAAGTAAACAATAATAACCGAACTTTAAAGTTCAGTTTAGTTATTCAACAAATGTTTACTGAGCACAGGTTAATATGATAGTCACAAAGACTGGAGTTTTTAAAAAAAGGCCTTGAGCTGGGCGTGGTAGCACATGCCTGTAATCCCAGCACTCAGGAGGCTGAGGCAGGAAGATCATTGCAAGTTTGAGGCCAGCCTGGGCTATAAAGTGAGTTCAAGGCCAGCCTGAACTACTTAGCGAGACCCTGTCTCAAAAAGACCAAAAGATACATAAATAAATAAAAATTAAAAATTAAAAAAAGGCCTTGGCCTGTAGTTTTTACTGTAATGGAAAGAAGACAATGCCCAAAGAGAAAAGATATTCCCAATGTCATGTTAGTTTCTATAGAAAACTAATACTTATTAAAGAAATGTATAATTTGACTACTAGTGCAGTATAAAATTCCACTGTAATATACTCTAGCCCCAACCCACATGTGTTAGTTACCTGTGGCTGCCACACAAATTACCACATATTTATGGCTTAAAACAATGAAATCAAGATGTCAATAAGGCAATATTCCTGCAGAGAAGTCAGGGAAGAACCAATTTGCCTCTTTCAGCTTCATGACCACAACACTGCACCATCCCCCCCTGTCTTTGCATTGCCTTCTCTGTGTGTCTCTGCCTTCTGTCTCTTACCAGACATTTTTCACTGGATTTAAGGTACCGCTGGGTATTCCAAGATGATCTCATCTCATCCTTTATGTTAGTTACACTTGCAAAGACAGTCCTTCCAAGTTAACATTCACAGCCTCCTGGGATTACAGCATAACTTTGGAGGGCCAGCACTCCATGGACTGCAGCCCATTTCCAGCCTCCACTCTGGGCCTCCACAAACCAATTCTCACAGCAAATTGATGCTTTCAACATTCTAACTTGTTAGTGCTCTGGCAGCTTACAAGTCCTGCTAAAATGTCATTGCCTTCCCAAACGTTGTCATTTCCATTCCTCACATACACTAATCGCTTCCTGATCCAAGCTGGAAGAGTAGTTGCTGGAAGAGTAGTTTGCCATTCTTTAAAGACATTTATTTGGGGTTTTACTTTTTTTTTTTTTTTTTTTTTTTTTTTTTTTTTTTTTTTTTTGGTCTTTTTAAGACAGGTTTTCATTATGTAGTTCGGTCTGGCCTTGAACTCACTTTGTAGCCCACCTGGTCTCGAACTCACAGCTATCTTCCTGCCTCAGCTTCCTGAGTGCTGGGATTACAGATGTGCCCCACAACACCAGCTAAAGACATGTATTTGGATTTTAACCTTCCATAGCTGTAGGTTAAGAATGGTGTCTAAGTCATTTTTAGTGGGATTTTTTTCTATTTTTTTTAACTTTACCTTCTTTAAATTTATTTTTTCTTAGTCATTTTTGTGTCCCACCTAGCAATAAGCCAAACTGGCAAGTTTGAAGGCCAGCCTAGGGAACTTAGCAAGACCTCATCTCAAAATAAAATTTTAAAAGGCCTGCCAACAGTGGTGGCACATGCCTATAATCCTAGCACTCGAGGCTGGGGCAGGAGGATCACTGGCAAGCTCAAGGCCAGCCTGGGTTACATAGTGAGTTCAAGGCCAGCCTGAACCATGTAGCAAGACTTTGTATTAAAAAAAAACAAAAGCTGGGGATGTAGCTCAATGGCAAGCAAGCATGAGTGAGGCTTTGGGTTCAATCAGTACAGCAAATAGATAAATAAGTAAATAAATAAATAGGAGCTGATGTCTGTGAACTAAAGAGGACTC